TTATCATCCCCATTTTATAGATGAGGAAACTGTGGCAAACAGAGGTCAAGTGACTTGCCCAGGGTCACACAGCTAGTAAATGTCCGATTCCAGGCCCTACATTCTATCCACTGAACCACCTGGTAGCCACAAGAATAACAGAGCTGTTGATCAGTCAAGATGTTGTGTATGAAGGACTTTGTAAAGCTTAAAGCTTAAAAGAATTATATAAATGTGAGTTATTATTTACCTCTTGAGAAGTGTGTGCCATACTGAGCACTGACCTTAATTCCCTGTTTGTCCCAATAAGTGTCAATAGAGTGGTGGGGCTTTCTCTCTAGAATTCCCAGGAGGCAGAGTGTCCTCTTCCCCAGATGACTATTAAACAGCTGCTAGAAAAAAGAGATTCCCAAGGTACCTCCTCCCTTTGGATGAAGTTGAAACAAATGCTATTGTTCACTCACTCTGGTCCATCTGGGAAGGTGGCTAAAATGTTAGGTTTGGTATTTCCACAAGCTCTCTCTCAACAGCTCAGTCAGTCAGTAAACAGTTGACTAAATGCTGAGGATACAAAAAGAGCAAAAAAAATAGGAAATGCCTAACAGAGGGGAGGAACTAGAATGAAGTCGAAAGCATAAGATGAGAGATTTAGGGCTAGAAGGTCTAAGGGGTTATCTAGTTCAACGCCCCTCGCTTTCTAGATGGGAACACTGAGGCCCAGAGGTAAAGTGACTTCCTCACAGTCATCCAGGCAAGTTCCTCAGACTTCCAAATCTGGAACTCTTTCCACTGCCCTTCCCTGCTTCTCACTTTGTAGCCCATAGTTTGTGCACACCATCCACTTAACTCATCTTTCTAACTTTCCTGAAAAGCTTGAGCTGCCTGTTTACTTCAGTCTGTTTTACTCTTTTAATAAGTCCTTGCTTTTGAGTAAGTCTTTTGCTTTTTAATGATCTAGTTAAGCTTTAAAGTTTGAAAAACTCCACGAAGACTTTTGAGATACCCTATATAAAGGGGTAGAATAATGATACTATATCCCAGAGGCATATCTTCATATCTGAATTGATTTGCTGTAATGTAATTTTGTCCAAATGAATCCATTGTTTGAAATGAAATTCCCATTTAGTTGGATCTAGAAGCAAAGTTACTACCCTACCTTGTTCAAGTATAAAGAAGGAGACCCAGTAAAGGTAGGGGTAATAAGGCCAAGCATGGCTAGCCTTTACCTCTGTTGCTTTTCCCCAATCTCTCTGAGAGAGAGAGAGAGAGAGAGAAAGAGAGAGTGTGTGTGTGTTTGGGGGGGAGGGTGATTTTGAATAGTTGTTTGGTAGGTAGAATACTTACAGTAAGGAAGGAGAGCTGAAAGGTGGCTAGTGCTTGAGAGCTGGACAAAATAAAAGTAAACAACTGAGCTACACCTTCTCTAATCTCTTCTCATAGTACAAACAGCAAACCCTCAGGTTGGCTCATTATAGAAAATGACTGTCAGAGGAATCAGCCCCAGAGAAAGCATTTGTTTTATGTAATTGTATAATGGATCAGAATTTGTTGTGACTGGAGCAAAAGCTTTATATCCATGAATCATACAGATGGAAATAGCTGCAAGGGAATTTCAGCTATTCTAGACCACTTAGAACCCAGAAGTGATTTATCCAAGATCACATAGTAGTAAGTGGCAGAATTGGGATTAGGACTTAGATCTTTTTATTCTAGATCAGGTGTTGCTTCCACTCCTCCAAAGTGGCTCATCCAGCAGGGCTACAGGATTAGTTTTGTCAGAAGGGAGGGATGGGATTTGGCTTTCAAAGCTTTCAGGTTTCCATTTGGTTGTCGGCTTGAATTGGAATTCTCTGAACAAGAGCCTGGTTTGTAAATCTGGTGAATCCTCCTTGGTCCTTTTGCCTTCCCCAGGCTTTCTGTGTCTTCTTTATTTTGACTTTACACTATAGCTGGGCACAGGTAGGTGGTACAGTGGATGGAGCGCTAGGCTTACAATCAGGAAGCCTTCTTCAGGAATTCAAATCTGGCCTCAGACATTTACTATGTGACCCTGGGCAAGTCACTTAGCCCTGTTTGCCTCAGTTTCCTCATCTGTAAAATGAGCTGAGAAAGAACTGGCAAACCACTCCATTATCTTTGCCAAGAATACCCTAAAAATGGGGTCACCAACAGTCAGACACGACTGAATGATAGCAGACACTGTAGCCAGTGGAGGGACTTAAGGTTACTGAGGGTAGATGAGTACGAGCAGAGAAAGAAGAATAAAGACAACACTTTAAAGGGAAGCAAAAGGATTATTGACCTGGAAAAATTCAACTAAGAGTGAGTATTTAGTGCATGCAGTTGTAGTCCTTCTACAGATTTGGGCAAGAAGGGACCTTAGAGATCATCTAATATTTTTTTACACGGGAAATGAAGGCCTAGATTGGAAAAGTGACCTCATTCATGATCACACAGTAAGGTAGTGGTGGGTCTGCTCTAGTCACCCTGACATCCTCAGATGTTACCTAATTGAGATTATTGCCATTAGGCAGAACCCATAACAGAGGCAGGGCAACCAGGGCTTTGCCCTTTACAGCTAAGCTCAGTATCTACAATAACAAGAGTAGTCAAACTAGAAAGCCACTAGGTGGGGTGTCTGCCAGCTTTGACCCAAATAAATCCCTTTCTTAATTAGCAGTGTCCTTGAATGATAGTAATAATAATGGCTAAAAGGTATATAACACCTACTATGTGCCAGGCACAGTTAAGTGCTTTACAATTATTATCCCCATTTTACAGATGAAGAAACTGAGGCAAACAGGTTCAGTGACTTGTCCAGATTCAACAACCAGTAAGTGTGTAGACAGGATTTGAACTCAGGTCTTTCAGACTCCAGGCCTAGTGCTCTGTCTGCAGTGCCACCTAGCTACCTCTACAACTGGAAAGACCTGTGCTTATATCCCGTTTCTGACTTCTACTGTATAAGAGATGGGCAAGTCACTGAACCTAGCCTGGTGCATACCTAGTGGTGGTGGGGTTTCAGTCTTTCCACCTAGAAAAGCTTGCATTCTAAGGCATAATACACTTGGCTTCCTCTCTGCCCCCCACCCCTGCCCTACACAATAGCTTTCCCTAGTTGCTAATTTTGACTCTACCTTCAGTGAGATATCCCCCCAAAGCCCCTGACCCCTTTCTGTTTAGAAATTAAATTCTATAGCAGAGTTGATAAGTCATTTACAACATGCCTGGCACTCTGCTGTGAAAGTGATGAGAATTATTAAATATGGAGTCTGCCCTAGTCACCTCTTCAGCTGCTGAGAAGAACTAATTGAAAATTCTCATGGAGTCTCCTCAGTCAGGGGCCCCTTTCACCATAGATAGTGGAAAACTTGGGAAAAGATAATGAAAGTATAGACCTAGAACTAGAAGCACTCCAGAACCATTTAGTCAAGGGGTGAAGAATCTTTAGCGTTGAGACCATGTGTAGCCTTTGGTCCTTGGGTCTAGGCCTTTTGACTGAGTCCAAGTTTTACAGTAAAAATCCTTTTATTAAGGGGATTTGTTCAAAGGGCCGCACTTGAGGACCTAGAGGGCCACATGTGGCCTTGAGGGTGAAAGTTCCTCACTCCTGATCTAGCCCAAGTCCCTCATTTTACACATGAGGCCAAGGAATAATAAATACTTGTTCAGTGTCAAATTAGGTAGCTAGGTGGTGCAGTGGATAGAGTTCTGGGCCTGGAGTCAAGAAGACTCATCTTCCTGAGTTCAAATGCTGCCTCAGACACTTAGCTAGCTGAGTGATCCAGGGCAAGTCATTTAACTTATCTGTAAAGTGAGCCGGAGAAGGCAATAGCAAACCACTCCAGTATCTTTGTCAAGAAAACCCCAAATGGGGTCACAAAGAATTGGACTGAACTGAAAACGACTGAACGACAAGGTCAAATGGCTGGTAAGCGTCATTGAGGTAGGATTTGAATCCAGGCCCCTTGACTCTAGAGCCACCACTCTTTCCATTGAACTGCCCCTTTCAGGGTTAACCCTTAAGATCTTTTATCTAACCTCTAACATCCTATGAATCCCACACATAATGTACTCACCCAGGGTCAACTCAAGTTAGTATGTGTTTGGGGTAAGGCTAGGGCAGTTCCCAGAGCTGGTTTGGTCCTGAATCTGGGATTTCATCATTGGAGGTGGAAACGCCTTACACCAGTGCAATTCCTCTAAAAGTAGGGTCTTAATGGGATGTCCAGGGGCACTGAGAAGTTAAGTAAATTGCTCAGGGTCACACAGCTAGTTCATTATGTGTCTGACCTAGGCCTTAAACCCAGGTCTTCTTGGTTCCCAAAGTCAACTCTGTAACCCCTATGCTGTAGTGTCTTTCAGTCCCCTTTTTATGGTTCTCTGTTTTCTGCAGTGATTTTTAATCCAGTAGATAGAGCTTAGTCGTGTATCAGCTATTATCATGCCCACACTGTAGTCTTCTTTCCAGTTCCACTGGGGCTTGGGGGGAGGGGTGGAAACCAACCTATAGCTCAATGCATCTTTTATTATCTATACAATATAAATAATTCATCGACCCTTATGGCCCCTCTGAGGTGACTAGGATTTGAGGCTCATTGGTTCGGAGATGGCTCAGGGCGGCTTTAGAGACAGAAAGTGGTCAATACTGCATTTACTTATGGAAGCTCGTGGGACTGAAGCTAACTGGGTGGCTGGAGGGCAGGCAAGGACTGGAGCAGCTGTTGTAGGTAGTTCAGTGCGACTGCAGACACAGACAGAACACAGATTGAACAGGCTCTCCGTGAAGAGCAATTAGAAATGATGTTTAATAAAATAAGCTTTGAGGTCTAGCAAAGCTACTGGGCTCCTTGTGGGTTGGGCCTTCCTGAAAGAGCAAGGAAGATTTGAAATAAGTAGGGGACCTCCCTCCCTTTAAAATAGTTCAAAGTTGCACTATTTTAAAATAGCTTGTTTATTTATAGGATGGAGTCTTTAATTGATTTTTTTTCTTTCTTTTAAAAAAATTTATGCCATTTCAGAGAGAATAATGAGAACCCACCTGGTCCTCTCATTTCTCCTCTTCTTTGTGATCGGCTATGGCTCCTCAGAAAATGCCAGCACTTCTCGAGGCTGTGGGCTTGACCTCCTCCCTCAGTATGTGTCCCTGTGCGACCTGGATGCCATTTGGGGGATCGTGGTGGAGGCAGTGGCGGGGGCAGGGGCCCTTATCACGCTGCTGTTGATTCTGATCCTCCTGGTGAGATTGCCATTCATCAAGGACAAAGAGAAGAAGGGGCCCCTGGGCCTGAACTTTCTCTTCCTTCTGGGGACCTTAGGGTTGTTTGGACTGACTTTTGCATTCATTATCCGAGAGGATGAGACCATATGCTCAGCACGTAGGTTCCTGTGGGGGGTGCTCTTTGCCCTGTGCTTCTCATGCTTGCTCAGCCAGGCATGGCGAGTCCGGAGGCTGGTTCGCCATGGGAAAAGCCCCTCAGGCTGGCATCTCACTGGTATGGCCATATGCCTGATGCTGGTCCAGGTCATCATTGCCACAGAATGGCTGGTCTTGAATGTGGTCCGGGATAAAAAGCTAGCCTGCAACTATGAACCCATGGATTTTGCATTGGCCTTAATTTATGACATGGTTCTGCTGGTGGTAACCCTGGGTGTGTCCCTTTTCACTCTCTGTGGGAAATTCAAGAAGTGGAAGAAGAATGGAGTGTGCCTCATCCTTACCACCTTCCTCTCCATTCTGATCTGGGTGGCCTGGATGACCATGTACCTTTTTGGCAATGCAGAACTAAGGAAAGGTGACGTTTGGAGTGATCCCACCCTGGCCATTGCTCTGGTGTCCAGTGGGTGGGTGTTTGTCATCTTCCATGCTATTCCTGAAGTTCACTGCTCAATCCTTCCATCGCAACAAGAGAATACACCCAACTACTTTGATACATCACAGCCCAGGATGCGGGAGACAGCATTTGAAGAGGACGTTCAGCTTCCCCGGAGCTACATGGAAAACAAAGCTTTTTCAATGGATGAACACAATGCAGGTAATTTGAACCAAGCTTTGTCTATGGCTTCTATAGGCATCTGTCAACTGGACAATGAAGAGCTAGGCACTGTTCCCCATATACCCACTTGCTGACCTATTAAGCCAATCTGAAGTGGTTTCAAGTCCTTTAGTTAAGTAAAAATAGAACAGAAGCCAGCAGCCTGTAAATGCAGTGAGACCTTAAATCCTTACTTGATATTCAATGTATATTAATTGGAATTACTTACTGGGAATCCCAGTAGGAAGGAGAATACTCACAGATGTGTTCTGTCCTACAATTTGCAGAGGGCTATGCTGAGTCAGCCCATCAAAACGATCATTTGTTCTTCCCAGTGGCAGAGCCCACATTGTTGGGTTTGCTTGGTGAGCACTGGGGAACTGTGTAACCAGTTGTACATCCAACTACGGGAATAGGTTTGTAGGAGAAAGCAGGCTCCTCCCCATCTTTCCTCACCAACTCAGCAAATCTTTAGATGCATTTCAGGATGAGAATGGCATCCCTGAGCTCAGTGTGGCATAGCGAACAGAGCCACCTCTTGCACTAAACTTGCAATCAGGAAGAACTGGGTTAAATCCTGCCCCAGAAATTAGTTTTGGGAACTTTGTGAAAATCATCTAACCTACCTGAACCCCACCTTTTTTTCACTAGCAGATGGAGGTACTAAATGGCCAGCTCCTATTTCTCAGGGCTGTTGAGAAAGTCAGATGATATAATGTATATAAAGTGCTTGCTTTGCAAACCTAAAAGCATTTCCTAAACATGAGTTGCTACTGCCATTGTAAGAGGCAGCTTATGTGATGGATAGAGTGCTGGCTTAGGAGTCAGGAATACCTGGGTTTGAGACCTGTTTCTGATACATTGTACCTGTGTGACTCTTTGAAAATCACTTAACCAACCTCTCAGTGTCTCTCTCAAAGACTAGAAGTTATAACTGGCATTGATGTATTATTAGTTCAGGCAGAATTAAAGATCCCCATCCTGTGATTGAGACAGTGGTAGGGACCCTCCCTTCCTTCACTTTTTTTTTTTTTAGAAAATGGCTTTACTCTCTTTCATATACTCTGAGAGCTAAATGAAAGATCTCCACGGCGTCAGGCCCAATTCCGCATTGCTCATCTTTCCCTTTCTGTATATGTCTGATATGTCAGACTCAATGCCTTAGTTCTCTTAGGGCCATGGGAGACCCAGCCCTGCTACTAACTCCCTCATTGTGTCTCCTTGAGCAATCATGACACATCTGAGCCCTAGTATTCCACTGTAAAAAATTTACATGATTTCTAAAGTGTAATCTCAAACTGCCATTCCATAAGCCCATGATTCTGATTTACATGGGTAGCCCCTTTGCATCCAGTTTCCATAGTTTTCAGGGGCCAAGCCAGTGAAGACAGATCAGACCAGAGGTGGGAACCCTGGACTGGACAAAAATAGGGAGTGGATGTCTTGGTATGTGTCCTCCCCCTTCCCCTGGCTGTATTCAAGAGCCAAAGGGATTAGGTTTTTCATTTATCCTATGTTAAGGATCACCTTGTTAATCTTTATTAGTGCAAATGACTGCCAATTGGCTATGTGCAAAGTTGACTTCCCAAAGTGGGGGGAACCTCAAAGTTTGCCCCAAGTTGGGTCTTGTCCTCTAGCAGAGCACTTCCCCACAGGCATAAATCCATAAGACAGAAACCTTATCTTACCATGGCCCAGGCTCTCCTGCATTTGTCCTCTAGCCGCCATTGAGACCAGCTGTTGGAATTTTTGGCATAGGCCCCAGGGGTCTTGAATTTCAGGAAGCCGAGGCCCAAGTCCTCTCCAGTTGGGCTCCTTCATACCACTGTGGCCCTCATCTCAGGCCAGTGAACTTTGACTTAAGAAAATCATGCAGAGTCTGTTTGATTAAATCTGGTCCTCTCCAATTTCAATCTTCTTGTTTCACTAATGCGATCTGATTGATAGAGAACCACTTGCCCTCCCTCATCACCTTCCCCGTTTGACACTTCAGTGTTGTGGTGGAGAGGTTCTCGGGGCAAAGAGTATATTCCTGAGTAAATTATAGCCCTTTGGGTATGGTTTGGTGATGAGGCTGATTCCAGTAGCCTCTGTCTCTCTACATTTTCTCTGAGAGAGATTTTGTTCAGCCTCCTGCTTCTTAATGTCAGTGCCAGCATGACAGAAGTGATAAGAAATTAAAATGCATTGAAAAATCTAGCACCTTGGATCACAACTTCAGAAGCCTTAGAGATGTGTTAAACATTCACCTTTCAGAGGAATGAGATGAGGTGCTTTTTCAGAAAAGTACCTTTTTTGGGGGGCCACAGTGGAAAGAGTATTGGGCTTGGAATGAAGAAGTCCTGGGTTAAAAATCCCTAAGATAATGTATGTGAAGCTCTTTGCAAATATTAAAACTTTATGAAAACATGAAAAAAAATCTCTCCTGATACTTACCAGCGGTGTGACTAAGGGCAAGCCAGTTCACTGCTCTAGACCTCAATTTCCTCACTTATAAAATGGGGATATTTTTAATGTCCACTTCAGAGGGGAGTTGGTATGAGCTTCAAATACAATAATTATATATTTAGTCCCATGAATGTCAATTGATCAGAAGCTAGTGAGGTTTGGGGATTAGAGCATGAAGATCCCTCTGGACCATAGGCTATGTTTATATAGGTTTGTAGGTTATGTTTATACTAAGGAGCTAGGTAGTGTAATAGATAGATGGGACTTGGAAGTCTAGAGGACCTGAGTTCATATTCTGCTTCAGCTACTTACTAGCTGTTTGACCCTGGATAAGTCACTTAACCTCTTTTTTGCCTCAGTTTCCTCATCTGCAAAATGAGGATAATAGCATTTACTTCACAGTTGTGAGGATCAAGTGAGATAATATATGTAAAATGCTATATAAATGCTATTTTTATCATCAGTCTATCCCCTCTACTCCTGCCACCTCAGTGAATTCCCTGAAATGAATGTCCAGAGATTTGGCAGTTGCTTTTGAAGGCTTCATCCTTTTGTCATGGATGTGATACACATCAGTGATGTCAAACTCAAATAGAAGCAGATCCCTGCAGGCCACATAGACTTAGAAAACCACACATTCACATTATCTGTGTTGTATTTTTATTTCTTTTGTTAAATATTTCCCAATTACATTTTAACCTGGTCCAGGCTGCACTTGGGGGTTTTGTGGACCACTCGGTATCTCTGAGTATCTCTCAGTGTCTCATCTCACCTCTGTGGGCCTCACTTTTCTTATTGTAATGAGAGGTTTGGACATAATGACCTCCCACTTCTGCAGTACCATTATTCATATCTCTCACTGTAGAGGAAACCAAGAGTTTGGCTCATCTCTGCCACTTAATCCCTTGGCTAATTCATTCCTTGGAACTTTGGTTACTCAGCAAGTTAGAAACAAACTCTGGGCCTTGCTCTTTGGATGTGTCTGGAGAAAAGACCTCACTCTGTTATTGTTTTAGGCAAAAGCAATAAGGGCTTACTTAATCCAGCTGGGTTTCAGCACTCTGGTTCCTGTGGTGATAGCATTCCAGTTCTGGAAGGGTTGGCATTTTAGAGCCACCTGGACAGCAGCAGGTATACCAAGGCACTGGGAACAATTTCAATTCAGCAGTTCCTAAAGAACCTTCTAAATCAAGGATGCACAACTTGTGGCCAGCATGCCACTTACAGCCCTTGAACTGTTTGCTGGACACCAAAGGATTTTGGGCGGCCCACAAAAAACATAGAGGGCTAAAGTTGTGCAGGCCTGTTCTAAATGAAAACCATTGGGCCCTCTGGAAACTGGGATAGGAATGACTCTGATTTCATCTATGTAGGGAATATCCAGCCCTGCTTCCCAAGTGTAGGAAGCTTTCAATTGAGGGCATATCTCCCACCAATATTGAGAGGTTCAGTGACCTGACCAGGTTTTCCTGGTAGCCCGGCTGCCTCTGGAGCTACAGACACACTTCTCCAATCATTCAGTCAAGTAAGCAACCAACCAAAATGCCTGGTTTTCCCTACAGCCAAGCAGAGACTGCCTTTCTGATTAAGATAAGTGAAAATGGGGGCAGAGCTAGGTGGCGCAATGGATAGAACACTGGCCTTGGATTCAGGACCTGAGTTCAAATATGGACTCAGACACTTAGTAGGTAAGTGGAAGTAATTCTTAGGTTCATGTTCTCCAAATAATCAGTTGCCCCCAATTCCCTGCTTTAGGAAGCAAAGTAAGAGCTTACCATTTGGCCTTCTCTCTCAAACTTAAGTGTGAGACTTGGGTTATGACAGATGACATACATAAGAATAAGATTTCTATGGGAAAGACGTGGGAAATGGCAAACTACTTCTGAATATTCCTCTGGCTTGAGTGATACCTTCAGTTCTGGTTCCCTGTCTACGAAGGTATAATTGCTGGCTACATAATTACGTTCTCAGCAAACGCTTAGGAAGAGTGTTTCATCATGTATTTCTTGGACTGGGTCTCTTTTTCCTCAGCTAAGTCTGCTCTCTCTGCAGTTCAGGTTGCTTCTGGGGATGATTTGGTTGTTTTCTTGTAGAAATAGCTGCATTGTGACCCTGAGCTTGTTCCTAGGCTCTCTGGCTGTAGGGTAGGATTTCCTTAACAAAACAATTACTAACTGAGAATGGATGACATTTCTGTATTTTACAGATGAAGAAACTGAGACAAAGGTTCGGTGATTTGGCCCATGGTCATATAGATAGTATCAGATGGGATTTAAATCTAGTCCAATCCAGCAGGTATTTATTTAGTGCCTATGGTGTGCAAGGCAGTGTGCTGTGCTAGGTTCTGAGGATACAGAGGTCACATCAGAGTCAGTCCTCTCAAAGAACTTAGGTTTTACATTGAGCCTAGATCAGGCCTGCACGAGCCCCAGCTTGTACAGGCCTGGCCTTTGACTCCAAGCCCAGCATTGTGTCGACTGCACCAGGATGGTGGCAACAGCTCCAGAGTGTTAGCTCCTTCAGGAGGTTGTAAATTACTTGAACACAGAGAGATGTTAGGGCCTTTTTTTGTCTTTGCATCCTCAGCTTCTAGGATAGCGGTTGGCACATAGTAGGCACTAAACGACATCATATCTTTTGTCGACAGTATTCAGGAAGATACATATTATCATCTTGGCAGGGCAGAACCAGAACTGAGTAGAGTTGTCAGCAAGTAACAAGGACTGGGAATTCAAGCTTCTCTCCCACAAATGCCAGGCAGTTTACTAACTTAGGGACAAACTTTCCAAACCCCACAAATGCCTGATTAACTACAAAGGGAGGCTGGGAACAAAGCTCCTTTGTGATTTTTGTTTTTAGCCTGGCATGTGATAAGGGGAGGGCACAGTGTGGGGGCAGGAGCAGGGTGTTGATGCATCAGGAAGAGAACAACCATCAAAAAAAATTGTATCTCCCTGTTTTTTTCTCTCCCCCCTCAGCTCTACGAACTGCAGGATTTCGAAATGGTAGTTTGGCAAACCGACCCAGCGCTCCATTTAGAAGCAATGTTTATCAGCCCACTGAGATGGCAGTTGTGCTAAATGGTGGGACTGTAAGTATCAAAATGTGATGCTATGGCAGGAAGCTTACATTTGTACAGTCCTGGGGAACAGCTTCATGGGGGATAAATGGCACCGTTTAAACTGCTTGCTCTTTTTAAAAAGACAAAAGCCAAAAATGAGTATGCATGCAATGCTTACATTTTTTCTCTCTCCCTCCACCCCATAGAGTTAAAATAAAATCCACCTGAATTTAGTCAGTTTGTAGTTTAGTTTGAGAATCCTGTTTTCTTGAGACTATTCCAGATCACCAGTGGTCCCTGACAGTATAAATGAGCCTGTAGGTAACCCCCCTACCCCCACCCCAGAATTTTTCCTTTACCCTCAGCCATGTCTGCTGATTCACCTTTTGAGAAAGGCCAGCCAATTCAAAATTATAATTTCTTCCAGATTTATTGATGTTCAGCCTAGCTCAGATTTCCCCCTTCCTCTCTGTCAACCTGTGTGCCTTAGGGTCAGCACAGGGAACTCCCTGGAGAGAGATCCCTAAAGACTTGGGAGAGCGTGCTCACACGGAGGTCACCATTTCCTCCCCTCAGACGTGGTTTGGCCTGTCAGTATGTTAAAGCCTTGCTCTGTTCTCATGGGAAGAATGGGTTAGCTAGCCGATGCCAAACAATCTTTCAAGAGAATGGTCATAGCCATTTTCCTTTTCTGCAATGGCATTCTTTTTCTGTAGCAATCCAGAGAGGAACTCTCATCTCCACATTTAATTTCCAAACATGGCTATATGCTTCTTTAAAAAAACCAAACAAACCATTCATAAGCCTGTTTACACGTCAAGTACATTTCCATTCTTTATATCATGTGCCGATTCCATAACTCAGCCTGATCACAATGGGTCACTAATACAGGTTCTTTGGTGAATGTACACTGGGCACAGGGTCTTAGATTTCATTTAGATGTTTACTCTTCTTTTGCTTTTGAGTGGAACGTCACACAGATTAGTTGGGCAGGGGATCAGAAATAAACAGGATCACAGATTAGCTTTTATGAGGTGTGGGCCTCTTCCTCTAAGTATGCACAGGGCCAAGCTTATGGCCCTCTGCCAAACTAAACTATGTCATGAGTGTTTGGTCTCCATGTCATCGGTAAATATGATTTGGAATCAGGCCTAGGATACCTTGGTTGGTCAATGACTGGTTAAACCCACCTGTTCCTATCCAGCATGGATAAACATGCCACTGAGCAGTAGCTCAAAATGAGGGGAAAGGGTTCGTGGATATAGAATTAAAGAGTCATTTAGGCCATTTTCATGGTGGGGTGGTAAGGAAATGCTTATTAAAGGATAAAGTATTTTGGTTGAAGAAGCTTCACTGAATAAGACAATAAGCCATGTCCACTGTGCTTGCGTTTATTTCGTGAGCTCTGCCTTGTTTGGCCAGTTTGAAAACAACTGCTTACTGAATCATGTCATTCTCCTAATGACTTAATTTCTAACAGTGCATATGTTGACATTGACTTTAGAAAAGCATCAAGTTCATAGTTACGGATTTGTTATCCTTATTTCCAGATCCCAACCGCTCCGCCAAGTTACACTGGAAGACACCTTTGGTGAAAGGCTTTTACAAAGTTCCAGAGAATAAGTATCTCTATTACAGATTTTATTCCCTGGCTGAGTCTTTCTGGGGGAGAAATCAATAACAGTGGCGGGACAAAGTCACTGCTCATCCTGGAGCTTTCAGAATCCCAGATAATGGGGTTTCATGTAAATGTGAACACTGGTGAACTGATAAGCTAACCGCCCACAAAATACCAAACCAACCAACGATTTTGCAAACTATAGCAAAGCTAATTTCCTGTAGAATTAGGCTCACTCTTAAAATGCAACTGGGGAGACCACATCCTCCAAGTGTAGAAGAACCAAAGTCACAGTGACTGCTAAGCAGGCCTGATTTGCTTTCAGTGCAGGTTTCCTTGTAGGGCCTCTCCCAATGGCAAGTGTTGGATCCAGGCTGCCTCCCTCATGAGGTTGGCATTTTATTGCTAAAGCATACAGAGGAGTTTTCCCACTTGCTTGCTAGTTGGTTTATGTGTTGCCAGGGGTCAGAGAGAGTAATTTGTTTATCAGTTTTGTGAGTGTGTATCTGCAGACATAGTTAGATTATGGGGCTTTTATTGAAGGTGGGAGCCCTGGTTAACATTGAGAGAAGTATTGCATTACCTGTGAAAATGCAAGAAACACTATTAGTGAAGGATCCCCCTCCCATTCTGAAGAAGTAAATGGTATCTGGTTGTTGGTTCGTGGATCACATTTAACATGGTGTTGGACTGGTGTTTGTTGTTTATGCCCCATACCTGTGATATTCCCATTAAGAGAACAGACAGGCTCCAAAATGGAGCCAGAGATAGACATGACCTGTGTCATGTGGCACCAGACTAAAGTTCTCAGTGCTATCAAGCTTCTCTCCTCCCATCCCACATCCCCAGAAGCCGACTGAGAACCTGGTGGTGTAAGCATCTTTCTGATTTATCTATATTTTATATCCAAATGTGCCAATGGGGCCACCAGCTCAGAAAGCCAAAGGGATGAGACTTATCAGGTTTGCCACAGACCTATGTGATATGGCTTTCCCAGAGTTCCATAAAATGCTTAGTAATGCAAGAAACTTCTCTGTTCCTTATATCAAGGTAGTAGGACCTCTAAGACACGAACATTTTTGTTTGTGGATTTTTTTGTTTGTTTTTTGGGTTTTGAGATAGAAAAGAGAAGTTTGTTAGATGGTTTTATCTTGGTTAACTGCAAGTTTTCTGAAAGTAGTTATTTTAAAATCCATTACTTCTGTCATAGTTTCCATCTGTCTTGAGCAAATCATCCTGTTATTTAATATTTATTTAGTGCATATCCAACATTAAAAGCATCATGGTCTCCTCATTGTTTAGCCAACATGATCTGCAGCTTTCTTAAATGCCTAAAGCAAGATTTTAACCTGACAGTATTGGATATATAAATGATGATGGGCTCTTTTGCTATATAACACAAGACATAAGAAATCTATTTTCTAGCCTTTAAAAAAAAAAGGTAAGCCACAAAGAACATGGAGAAGGTCAATGGTTGGGGAAAAAATGGTCACTGACTTTATAAATTTATATATCTATGCCGAATAATTATAACAAAACCTCTAATTCTTTGTACACCTGATTTTTGGCTGTGCCCTACAAGCCCTCCACCCTCTGCACAGCATTGAGGGAAATGAGATTGATATTGTCATTCTTGCCTTGATCATCTTATCTTGCAAGTTATTTTTTCTCCCTCTTTGCAAGTTCATTTCCCTTTCTGCCATGCATGTGAAAGGAAAGCATGGCATGAGAGTGTCTGCCCCCGTCACATCTCATCTCCAGTATCAGCCCTGGGAGCATGCGCTTGCTTTTAGACAACCAGACACCTGACTTTAGCCCTTAGTGTGTGTTCGGGAAGGTGATTATTAGATGGTTTGGAAATTTTAAGTATTTGAGGGAGGGGGGATGTTAGAAAAAGGGTGGGGGGCGGGATGTTGCATGCAGAACCCATTATTCTAAAAATAAAGAAATCTAATGCCTCAGTCTAATCCAATTAAAAAGTGTTACACATTCTCGTGCTAGGAAATGGTTACTTATCCCAGCTGTATGAAGTCATTTGGAGTTGTAGAATGCCATCACTGACATTTGCCTGCAAAAAAAAAGTCTCACTTTCAGAAAGAAACCATTAATGATGTAACTTTCCTCTAAGCTGTTATCAAAATGTCTAAGGTGACTATGGCCTAGATGGGAGGAGTGGTTTCTCTTTGTAAATGCTACTGCTGGAAAGTAACATTCACTACAATAAAAAGAAAGTGTTTCTAGTCCTTGGACAATTTTATTTCAGACAGTTATCAGATGTGTTTTTAAGGTTCTGTGTTTGGCAGGGTTTAAAGATGGGAATGAATAAATTGTAATCTGGGGTAGTGGAGTGGTAATCCCAGAAAAGAGAGGATCATTGTTTGCCTAATAACCTCACATGACTCATACGAAGATCTTTGCCTGGCCATAGTCTGTGATAGCAACTGCCCCAGAAAGCAAAGTGTGACAAGGCATCTCCTTTATTCTGGCACCTCCATTTATTATTTGTGTAAATGAGACGTGTTTACTTTTAACTTAACAAGTAGCAGTGATTAGAACACACAGTTGTAAGCACAAATTATGAATCTCTCAGCATTAAGTTATCAGAAGCCATTCCGGGGCCATAAAAGCCACCGGGTCCCTCTCGGTATAAGACTGGATGCATCCCAGTTTTCCTCTGCCTGCAGATGGGGGGGGGGGAGGCGGCAGGGCAGGAACAGAATTCTGAGACCCTACGGCACTTTCAAACTTTGTGATGAAATGTTACAGTGTTTAAAATGTGGCTATTCCATGGTTTAAGAGAAATCAGATGAAGCTGCGGCCTCTGGGCACCCCCTTGATTCTGGAAAAAGGCACTGCTTAATTGTCTTTGAAAGGGTGCCTTTTTCACGCAGAATTAACTAGGTTCTTTTCTTGGTTGGTGACAGCTGAGTTTGGTGCCTCGGGCCTAACCAAAAGCTGTACAAAAAGGGAACATTGTAGTTTTTATAATCAAACAATTTGATTATTATTATTATACCAGCTTACAGGATTACCCAGCAGGTGCTTTTTATTAATTGATTAAGAACAGAAGCTCACTTTTGATAGATAATATATATTTATTAAATGTATTAATGTGTGTTTTCTAATGTACTTTCCCCCTCCCTCCCTCCCCTGCTGGTGCCCGTTGCATACTTAAAAAGAACGTCTTTAAAGAATTTTCAAGACAATCAATGTGTACCATAAATGACTGTATATAAGAATACAAATTAAGAAGGTTGTAAAGCATGGGCAGATATGTTTTATTTTCAAAATGCTGTTCTTAACAAAAAATAAAGGCTTTACTATTTACGTACAATGTTTGTTGTAACTTGTTAAAACGGCCTAACAAAGTTTTTCTTCATAATCCGGCTCTATGGCTGTTCTCAGGACTTTAGATTTAGTGACCTCAAACACTGCAGATCAGAGAGTGAATGTGGACTTATTATTAATTTCAGCAGGAAACTAAAGACCTCTCTACCATATCTTTGGCCTAGAGGTTTGAGCTGAAAACTCACTCTGGTCTCCTCTTTTCATTGCTTGTATTTGCACTCCTGTAGGTTCTAGTGAATGTTAAGGATTGTCATGACCCAAAAATACTGTTCTCCTTTGAAATTAAGTACTGCAAAGGAATTGAAAATGAGCAGATATTTGCAAAAGACTGTAGCTTCAGCTAAAGAAAACCCAGAATTCCCAGGTTTGGGATCAGTTTAAAAATGAATCTTTGGAATTGCAACTAAGTAGTTCACAAAAGGTGGGGAAACAGATTTGAATGCATAAGAGAACAAGAAAATAGTGCATTATCTATTAGGACTAGGGAATGGGCAGCTAGAGTACCAACTGCATTTCAAAGCAGTTTTGTACTCCAGGAGGGAAACATCTGGACCAGTGACTAAAAGGGAAATACACAGTTTGTGGGGAAAGCTCCAGAGAATAATGAGAGTAAGTTTGTACATAATCGACTATACCTACATATAAAGCTGTGTTTTTGATGTGTTCACCAGTAACGCTTAATGTTGCCCAACATACAAAGAACATTTATGTCTGAGACTTGAGAATGCAAGAGGCAGATACCGTTTATTTGTTCAGGGCATCTATAATGGTGCTTGTCTCAGGCTGCAGATTGGGAGGCTGTTCTTCATCCTCTAATGTGCATTTCACTGTAACAGAAAGAAGATTCATTAAAAGAGACTTTGGGAAAACACTCTAATAAGGATACTGCAAATATAAGGGATGATTCTTAAGGTATGCTCTTATATTGGGAATGGGAACTTTATGGACTGCCTACCATCAAAAGTTTAAAACATTATCATATCCAAAAACCCCAAACTGAGTTTGTTTCCCAGATTCATTTCAGGGGAAGGTCAAAAGTGTTATTTTCAGGTCTTGTAGCTTTGAGGAAGTTTTACTGAAATATGGCAGTTTTCAGTTTCATAGCTCAACACATCCCACCCCCAAAGAGTCAAAATGAGGACATCACTGAGGACAACAACAAGGTCAATGGAGATTCATTTCTTGTATGTCACAGTCTGGGCAAGAATATGATCCAGGTGATTTCCCCTGTTCTGCCAAACAGGAAAGATAGCTAAAGACAGAGTTGAGTTGTCTGTGAAAGTAATCAATCCTGAACAAATACAAGCCGCCTCACAACCCTCCAAAAAGGGGGAAAATCTGAGAAAATGAAGCCCAACTGAAAATTAACTCTTGTTACTCTGCGCTTCAGGTACCATTTTTGCCTGCCCATTATTGTTAATACAAAAAAAAAGTTACTGTGTGCCCTTCTTTGTAGATGAGGGCACTGTTTATAAAGACAGAGTATTTATTTTCCCCTAGTAAGGAGGAATTGTCGTTATCCATACTATCTGGTTCCCCTGCAGGATGCATCTTGGGTGAATGGGCATGGCGTACGGCTATGAAGCATAGGTGAGTAGTACTGCTTTTTAGCCTGTCCGTATTTCAGCCTATATGTCAGACCCCTGACATTAGTGTTAAGAGCAACGTAGGCAAGCCCACTGAGCTAACTGACCTCAGTAAGCTGTCCTACAATGCTAAAGGGTTCAGAAAAACCTATCCTTGGAAATAGCTATGCTGAGATAACAAGCTGGGAAGAGAATGAGTGGCACAGGCTTTGAATGCCTTTGCTACTATGATTTATATGTCATATGACTGGACATTACCCTGGATTTTTGATCTGCTTGACTTCTATTGAAGTCATTGTGAGTTCCACTGCTAAATTCCTACACAGCTTTTTTTCTGTGAATTTGTTAAAGTGAATAGAATTAAAACATCTTCTTGGACATTTTGAACATTGTTATCCGTCATGTAGTTAAAGACAGTCTAACAAGAACGCTAATCTCCAGTTGTTGTGTATAGACTGGCTTCTCAGTTTTCTGGTCATCTTTATACACTCATATATAGTCACAAGCTTAATCCACGAAGCAACACTGGGTCCAGCTGGCCTTTCTACATATGCTTAACCAAGCCCCAATTTTTTCAGCTTGTGTACAAGAATACAGGCAGACATTAAATTGTCTAGGATTCCGAAAAATTGATCTACTTTGGGAAACAAGGAAATAGCAAATACTTAGAGTTGTACTTTATTTGAAAGAGATCTGTATTCAGGTCTTTGCTAAGCTACAGAGTCAGAGAATTTCAAACCAATAGGGAACTTTTAAATGAGGAGAGTGGGGAAGGGGAGGATAATGAATATTAAATTAGCATTACATCTAATTTTTTTTTTGTATTTAAGAGATATAAAGAATCACACCCAATTTCTAGATCATGGTCAGAAAGAAAATCTATTAAGAGGAAGGTTAGAAGCATATCATTACATGGGGTCTCCCAATGGTGTACCGATGTGTACACATCTATTTTGGCTGATCTCCTCAGATGTGATTATTGCAAAATCAGAATTGAAACGGATTTAGAGATCATTTAGTCCAGAGGTGTCAAACATGAGGCCTGAACACTCTGGAATGAGCTCAAACCAGATGAAAATGTAACTGGGGAATGTCTAACAAAATAAAAACATAATAAAATATAGATAATATTACATTTTAAAACTAAGACAGTATGTGGCCCACAGAGACTCATATTCAGTTTAGTGGCTCTCATTCCTATTTGAGTTTAGTATCACTGATATAGTTCAACCCGATGCATGAACCCCTTTTACAGTGTCCCCTTCAAGTGATCCTCTAGCTTCCGCTTGGACATTTCTAACATCAAGGAATTGCCATTAGGATCTCTGGAAGAAGCAACTGTTGATATTTTTGTTGTTACAATAGGTAGACATGCCAAATTTGGATAAGTCATGAAGTATTTGGGTTCTTAGCATTCTTCAGCTAGTCTATTTATCATGCCTTTTACTCTAGGAAATAAAAACTGTGTCCAGCATGAAAACTGAAAAAACAAAACAAAAATGAACTGAGTTGGTCAGTGAGTTCCCTGGTTTATCTTTTCTTTGAACTTTTGAAATCTTTTCTCTAAATCGAGAGTGTGCACCAAACTGACCAGTTTTCCCTTTTTTATTTGTAACAGTCTGAAATAGTCACTTTCTCCCAAGGTTCCTGTCCTTTCTATTTTGGTAATCGTGTTCTTCGTATTGAGTAGAACCAAGTCCAGCAGAGCAGTTCTCTTGGATTCCTGCTCTGCCTTTGAAGTATGAAATTGTTATTAATGCAAGCTAAGCATTTATCAGCTGCTCTGATTCGAACAGAGCATTCCAGCAGAGAAAAAGCTAAAGAACACAACATTGAGGACAAGCATTTTTAAGAAATAGAAGGAGGATGAGAAGCCAGCATAGCAGACAAAGAAGAAAGAGTGAGCAGAGCGAGTACTGAGTTTGGATTCAGAAGGCTTCCAAGTTCAATTTCTGTTATTTTGTTACCATGTGACCTCAGGCAAATCACTTCACCTTTCTAGGCCTCATTTACTTCAGGTGATGAGCTGGCCTAGAGTAGGACCAGTCCTCCTACTACACAATGGACAAGGGTCCTTTCAACCTTAATCTGTTTTTTTAATTAATTAATTAATTTTGATTTATCAACAATCACTTCCATAAGCTTTTGAGTTTTAAATTTTTCTCCCCCCCCCTCTACCTCCCTCCCCAAGACATCGTGCAATCTGATATAGGCTCTACATATACATTCCTGTTAAACAAATTTTCACATTAATGATGTTAGAACCAATAGGAGGAACCACCAGAAAGAGGAAACAAAACAACAGAAGGAAAAAATAGCAAATAGTATGCTTCGACCTGCATTCAAACTCCATAGTTCTCTCTTTGGATGTGGATAGCATTTTCCATCATGGGACCTTTAGAGATGTCTTAGATCCTTGCATTGCTAAGAAAGGCTAAGTCTGTCAACGTTAGTCATCTCACAATGTGTATAATGTTCTCTTGGCTCTGCTCACTTCACTTAGCATCAGTCCATACAAAGTCTTTCCAGGTGTTTCTGAAGTCCACCTGCTCATCATTTCTTACAACACAATAGTAAATTTCATTACATTCATATACCACAACTTGTTCAGCCATTCCCCAATTGATGGGCATCCCCTCAATTTCCAATTCTTTGCCACCACAAAAAGAGCTGCTATAAATATTTTTGTACATGTGGGTCCTTTTCCCATTTGGATGATCTCTTTGGGATACAGCCCTAGAAGTGCTATTGCTGGGTCAAAGGGTATGCACATTTTTATAGCCCTTTGGGCATTGTTCCAAATTGCTCTCCGGAATGGTTGGATCAGTTCACAACCCCACCAACCATGCATTAGTCTTCAAAATGGTTGGATCATAAAATCTCAATTTAAAGAAGCCTTCCCCAATCCCACTTAATTCTGGTACCTTTTTTCTTTAATGCCAATTTTGCCTATCTATTTTTTGTCTGTACACAGTTGTGAGCATGTGAGCTCTTTAAGAGCAAAGTTTGTCTTCTGACTTTCATTGTGTCCCCAGTGCTTAGCTCAGTACCTGGCCCATGGTAGGTCCCTAACAAATGTTTATTGACTGCCTGACTGACTAGATCCTTGTTATTTATCATCTGTGCACTGCTCCTCCCCAACAAGTAGAATAACTAGCTTATAGCCTTCTCTCTTCCAATCCCTGGCCCCTCTTCAAATAACCTAGACTTCCAGGTCCTCAACCTCCTCAATTCCTATGATCTCTATCTTCAAACTACTTTTAACTTTCACAAAAGAGTCCAACTATAAATTGGCTTCAAGTGCTGAAATTCCTAATTATGGCATTGGAAGTTATACGTAGGAAGGGACTGGTTTTGCTGCTCCCCTAGTTTTTTTTTTTTAAGGCTGTTGGGGTTAAGTGACTTGCCCAGGGTCATACAACTAGTGTCAAGTGTCTGGTCTGAGGCCACATCTGAATCCAGGTCCTCCTGACTCCCAGGCTGATGCTCTGTTCACTGTACCACCTAGCTGCCTCTCTCCCCTAGTTTTTTATGAATTAGAAAAAGGATGTGGAAAATAGATTCTTAACCTTTGTCATGTCATGGACCCTTTGGCTTTTGGGTGAAGCCTATGGGACCCTTCTCTGAATAATGTTTTTAAATACATAAAATTAAATTCATCGAATTACAAAGGAAACCAAAAGTTAGTGAAAATAAAAAATGTAATTTTGTTCCTATCCAAGCTCACAGAGATTCCCTGCTATCAATCCATGGGCCCTGGACAATAAACCATTTTTATGGAATTGTATTTGTTGCCTTCCAGATGAAAAGCTTTTTTGCCATCACAGTGAAATTATTTTCTTTCCCTGGCTCACAACTGCCAGAAGCCACTAGCCATGGCACAACCACATTAATAACTGTGGATGGTAAACACTGAACATTTTTCTTCCATTTCCCAGGTGGTTCCTCCCACCCTGTAGGCTTTCTTGTTTACTTTTTTTTTTTAAATTCATGCCATATTCCTTAGGGGATTAAACATCACTTTGGCTAACAGTCTATGAGAGTGTAGAACACCCTACATTTCTTTGTTCTACTGTAGGCTCCTGCAGGATGCTTTGAAGAAAGAAAGCTGTTAACTTCACATTTAGTTTTTGGCAGAGGGACAGGTGCCACCTTTTGCTTGCTGCATGTCTTGGTGCCTTTCTATCAGCAATAATGAAGCCAATTCAAGAAGGGCTGTGATGAGAGAAGAGCTAAGAAACCCTGAAAGAGAAAGAGGAGCCAGATGAACAGCTGAGACTAGCAGGATATGGGTACTACCACAACTATGCATGATAATAAGATGATAACAAAACCTAAATGATTAAGGCCATTATTTCCCCAGAGGTCAATATGCGACCTGTTAATTTACATTAATCACAAAACAAAACAAAAAAAACTAGTCATAAAATAAAGGTTACTTCAAACCTAACTATCAGAGCAGAAATTCAAATGCAGAGGGTTCAAAAGCCAAGACATGAATTGTTTGGAATGGGCAGGGAAGACTGACTGAGCAATAAATAAATAAATTTTAAAAATAAAATAAATATAATAAAATAATTTTAAAAATTGATTTTAAATTTTATTTTTAATTTATTTTAATAAATTAATAAATTTATTTATCTTAAATTAAATTTTAATTTTAAATTAATTTTTAAAATAAAATAATCTAAAAGATTTTTAAAAGATTAAAAAAATGAAAAAATAAAGTAAAATGCCGTATACACATGTAAAAACTGCTGTTCAAATGGAAAAAGCTAATAATGGTCCTACAGAAAAAACAAGGAAATATACTTCCTGCTTTTCCACAGAAAGGTGAGGAACTTGGAGAGCAACATGTTGCATATTTTGGCAGATACAGTCACCTTATTTGTTTCTTCTTTAAAAGGAAGAGTTAATGGTGGAGGGAAGTAAGGAAAGAGGAAGGAGGATGATAACAAGAAATAATTGATATAAACACAAAAGGCCCTAATAAAACTTATTTAGGGAATTTAAAAAAAGATTAAAATAAAAAATACTGTCCAGCTAAAGACCAAAGGGGAGGCATTAAAAACAAATCAAAAGAATAGCTAAAATGATCTTGGTGCAGTATTCAGTTAGGTGGAAAGGTCGGGAATTAATTATATCAAAACCATCAAATCTGTCTTGTAAAAGGTTGAGAAAAGCTATAAGTAGGTCCACATGAAAAGTTAAGTCAAACAGTTTTGAACAGGAGTAATCAGATTTTTATACAACATTATTAGCAAAATGTCTTGCTGGACAAATTCCTGGAACAATAATGTATTGCCCCAAACAACATGATGAACTACATAGGTGACTTATAGTAATATTAGTTCCCTCACCAGGGCTGGGGAAGTTGTGTCCTCAGGCTCCCCACCCCTGGTTAGCCTAAAAGCCAAATAGGAGAATGTTGTACACAGTAACAGCCACGTTGTGAGATGACTAACGTTGATAGACTTAGCCCTTCTTAGCAATGCAAGGATCTAAGACATCTCTAAAGGTCCCATGATGGAAAATGCTATCCACATCCAAAGAGAGAACGATGGAGTTTGAATGCCGATCAAAGTATACTATTTGCTACTTTTTTTTCTTCTGTTTTGTTTTATTTTCTCTTTCTTGTGGTTCCTCCTATTGGTTCTAATTCTTCTTTACAACATCATTAATGTGAAAATATGTTTAATAGGAATGTACATGTAGAGCCTATATCAGATTGAATGCCATCTTGGGGAGGAAGGGGGAAGGGAGGGGGAGAAAATTTAAAATTCAAAAGCTTATGGAAGTGATTGTTGAAAATTAAAAATAAATTAATTTAAAAAAATGCTAGCTAGAGCAATAAAACAAAAGAAATTGAAGGAATAAAAATAGACAATGAGGAAACAAAACTATCTTTGCTGATGATATGATGGTATACTTAAAGAACCCTAGAGAATCAACTTAAAAACTAGTTGAAACAATCAACAACTTTTGCAAAGTTGCAGAATATAAAATAAACCCACATCAGCATTTCTATATATTACCAACAAAAGCCAAGAAGAGGTAGAAAGAGAAATTATATTTAAAATAACTGTAGACAATATAAAATACTTGGGAGCCAAGACAAAACCAGGGACTATAAGAACACAATTACAGAACACTTTTCACACGAGTACAGATCTAAACAATTGGAGAAATATTAATTGCTTATGGTAGCTTGAGTCAATATAATAAAAACAACAATTCTACTAAAATTAATTTACTAATTCAATACTATACCAACCAAAGTACCAAACAAGTATTTTATAGATCTAGAAAAAAAATTAAAAATTCATCTGTGGAACAAACAGTCAAAAATATCAAGAAAATCAATGAACAAAAAAATGTGAAGGAGGCAACCTGACCGTACCAGATTTCAAAATATATTACAAAGTAGTAATCATCAAAACAATCTGGTACTGGCTAAGAAATAGAGTGGTGGATCAGTGGAATAGATTAGGTACACAATACACAATAGTAAGTTACCATAGTAATCTAGTGCTTGATAAATTCTGATATCCAAGCTTTGTGGGCAAGAACTTACCATTTGACAAAAATTGCTGGGAAAACCTAGAAACCAGTTTGGCAAAAATTAGGCATAGACAGATATCTTACACCATATATCAAGATAAGGTCAAAACAGGTAGATGATTTAGACATAAAGGGTTATATCATAAGTAAATTAGAGGAACAGGGAAAAAATGTATCTATCAGAACTATGGATGAGGGAAGACTTTATGACCAAACAAGAGAAAGAGAGGATTACAAGAAGTAAAATGGGCAATTTTGATTGCATGAAATTAAAAAGCCATTCCCCAATTGATGGGCACCTCCTCAGTTTCCAGTTCTTGGCCATCACAAACAGAGCTGCTATAAATATTTTTGAACATGTGGCTCCTTTTCCTTTTTTTATGATCTCCTGGAAGTGCACAAAGAAAACCAATGTAGTCAAAGTTAAGAGAAAGGCAGAAAACTGGGGTAGAAAGCTTTTCATCAAGTTTCTCTGCTAAAGATTCCATTGCTCAAATATATAAGGAACTGACCCAAATTTACAAAAATTAGAGCCACCCTCCAATTGATAAATGGTCAAAGGATATGAAGAGGCAGTTTTCAGAAGAAATCAAAGCTATCAAGAGTCATAGAAAAAAATACTCTAAATTAGAGAAATACAAGTTAAAACAACTTTGAGGTACCACCTCACACCTATCAGATTTGCTAAAGTGACAGAAAAAGAAAATGACAAAATGCTGAAGGGATTTGGAAAAATTGGGACACTAATGCACTGTTGGTGGAGTTGTTATCTGGTTCAATCATTCTGGAGAACAATTGGGAACTATGCCTAAAGAGCTATAAAACTGCTTACCCTTTGACCCAGCAATACCACTACTAGGTCTGTATCCCAAAGAGATCAAAGAAAAGGGGAAAGTATATATTTGTACAAAAATATAGCAGCTCTTTTTGTGGTGGCAAAGAACTGGAAATCGAGGGGATGACCATCAGTTGGGGAATGGCTGAACAAGCTGTGGTATATGCTTATAATGGAATATTATTGTGCTATAAAAATGATGAGCAGGATACTTTCAGAAAAAAACCTTGGAAGACATATGAACTGCTGATGCAAAGTGAAATAAGTAGAACCAGGAAAACACTGAACTCAGAAACAGCAATACTTAAGGATGGTCAATAGTAAAAGACTTAGCTACTCTGATCAAGACAAGGACAGTTCCAAAGACCTCTTTTTGTGGTGGCAAAGAATTGGAAATTGAGAAGATGCCCATCAATTAGGGAAAGGCTGAACAAGTTGTGGTATATGAATGTAATGAAATACTAATGTTCCATAAGAAATGATGAGCAGGTGGACTTCAGAAAAAACTTGGAAAGACATGAACTGATGCTGAGTGAAGTGAGCAGAATCAGGAGAACACTGTACACAGTAACAGCAACATTGATAGACAACTTTTCTCAGCAATACAAGGATCTAAGATAATTCCAAAAGACTCATGATAGAAAATGCTATCCACATTCAGAGAGAGAATTATGGAGGCTGAAAGCAGATTGAAGCATACTATTTTCTCTCTCTATTTTTTTTGTTTTTTCTTTCTTGTGGTTTTTCCCTTTGGTTATAATTCTTTACAACATGACTAATGTGGAAATATGTTTAATATGATTGTACATGTGGAGCCAATATCAGATTGCATGACATTTTGGGGAGAGGGGAATGGAGGGAGGGGTAGAAAATTTAGAATCAAAATCTTATGGAAGTGAATGTTGAAAACTAAAAACAAATAAATAAAATTTTTAAAAAGAGCTGCTATAAATATCTTTGTACATGTGGGTCCTTTTCCCTTTTTTATGATATCTTTGGGATACAGACCTAGTAGTGCTGTTATTGCTGGATCAAAGGGTATGCACATACAAAGGTATGCCCTTTGGGCATAATTCCAAATTGCTCTCCAGAATGGCTGGATCAGTTTACAATTCCACCAACAATGTATTAGTGTTTCAATTTTCCCACATCTTCTCCAGCATTTATCATTTTCCTTTTTTGTCATATTAGCCAATCTGATAGATGTGAGGTGGTACCTCAGAGTTATTTTAATTTGCATTTCTCTAATCAATAGTGATTTAGAGCATTTTTTTCATGTGACTATAAATAGCTTTAATTTCTTCATCTGAAAACTGCCTGTTCATATCCTTTGACCATTTTTCAGTTGGGGAATGACCTGTATTCTTACAAATTTGACTCAGTTTTCTAAATATTTTAGAAATGAGGCCTTTAGGGGCAGCCAGGTGGTACAGTGGATAGAGCACTGGCCCTGAACTCAGAAGGACCTGATTTCAAACCCAGCCTCAGACCAAACACTTGATCCTTACTAGCTGTGTGACCTTGGGCAGGTCACTTAACCCCAATTGCCTAAAAACAAACAAAAAAGAAATGAGGCCTTTATCAGAGACACTGGGTGTAGAAATTGTTCCCCGGTTTTCTGCTTCCCTTCTAATCTTGGTTGAATTGGTTTGTTTGATGCATTTTGTAAAAAGTCCCACCAATAATGGTTAAAATAAAATAAGTTTTGGTGCTTATGAGATGTAGTATGACATAGTAGAGGTAGCTAGGTAGCACAGTAGATAGAGCGCTGGGCCTGATGTCAGGAAAACTCACCGTTCTGAGTTAAAATCTGGCCTTAGACACTTTCTAGCTGTGTGACCCTGAA